ACCGCGAGCGTGTGTGTGTGTGTGTGTGTGTGTGTGTGTGAGTGTCAGCAGCTGAAGGTCATGTGGTTCTCTTCTTCAGGTGCAGACGGGGATGATGCTTCCAGCAGCATTTCCACATTAGAGCGATCGTTAGCTGCCCGCCGGGCCACGCGCACCAAGATGATGATTCCCATGGACTCTCAGCCCAGCAACACACGTGAGCCACTGCATTCAAACATTTAACGCCTGTTTACAACAAAAATCATAACTACAGTGATAACTATAGATATAAATATAACTGTAATTACAACGAGAATAATAACCATAACTAGAACCATAACTATAACAATAGCAAGAACTATACCGAAAACAATAACAATACCTATAACTATGACAATATCAAATAACTATAACTTCAATGATAATGGTAACAACAACTATAACTATAGCGATAACAGCAATATTAACTACAGCAATAACTATAACCGTAACTATAACAATAGATATCACTATAATTTCAACAATAGTGATAATGATAACTAGAACCATGACTATAACCATAACTTTAACAATAATGATAACTATAACAATAACTGCAACGCTTATGACGACGCTAACCATAATTTTAACAATAACGATAGCCATAATGATAACTATAACATTACTTATAATGAAAACTATAACATTAACTGATTTAAAATTATTTAAAATATAACAATAACTTTAACAAGACTGTTAACGATAACTATAACCATAACTAAAACAAAAACTATTACAATAGCAAGAACTATAACAATAACAATATCTATAACTATAAAGATAACTATAACAATATCAAATAACTACAATGTCAACGATAATGGTAACAACAACTATAACTATAGCGTAAACAGTCATATTAACCACAGCAATAACTATAACCATAACTGTAACAATAGATATAACTATAATTGCAACAGTTGTGATAATGATAACTAGAACCATGACTATAACAGTTTTTAAATATAATGATAGCTATAATAATAACTGCAAAGATAATGATGATGGTAACTATAACTATAACCATAACTTTAACAATAACGATAGCCATAATGATAACTATGACAATAACAATAACTGATATAAAATTAATGATAACTTTAAATATAACCAAAACTTCAACAAGAACTATAACTTTAACAGTAATTATAGCAATAACGAAAACTAATGTTAACATATACCTATAACTACAATGATAACTATAAAAGTAACTATAGCAATTACGATATCTATAACAATAGTAATAGCAATCATGAAAATGGTAACCATAACTATAATTAACTGCAACAATAATAGCACAGTAACTATAATCAATAACTATAGCGATAGCTATAACAATAACTAAATATAACTATAATTAACTATAACAATGAAATTACTTTATAACCATAACTTTAACAAATACGCTATGACAATAACAGTAACTACAGCAATAATGATAACTATAATGATAGCAATAACTATAACCATATCCGATAACAATAATGATAACTATTACCATATCTATAACAAAAACGATAACAATGATTATACCAGTATCTATAACAGTAACAATCGGTTTTTATTCTAAGCATTCTGCAGGTTTTTGTTGTCTGTCGCTTTAAATAATGAAGTCAGGTGGATTCTCAATGTTTTTTGTTGCCGTTAAAAAACTTTCTAATAGTGATTCCAGTGATATTGCTCCTCTGTGTCATTGTCATTATAGGTGTGATGCAGACTCTGCTGTTCTCTTTGAGTGAGATTGAAACATTGTGGTTATATAGTTATCATTGTTGCTGTGAACGGCCCTTCAGTGTGTTTTAGACCTGTTAGTGACAGACTGAGCTCTCACACGCTGACCTTATTTATGACTCTGAGCAGAGACGGATCCCAACAATAAGCCCTGAAATCACAGGCAGAAGATGCTTTTCTGAAGCTGACTCTGCAGAAGTCACAGTGAGATTCACACACGGAAGGAATTGAGGCAGAAATGGGATTTCCAGCAGTTATTCAGTGCTGTGTGTGACCCTGATTTCCTAATCCAGTTTACCCAGTTCAGCCCAAACCAGCAGAGAGACTAGCGTGTGCGTTCTTGAAGTGTGTCTGAGTGTGAAAGGAGGAGAAGCGAGTGAATGTGATGTGAATATGAGCCGTATGTCTTATTGAAAGGGTTTGTTGCATGTGTGTTTTGGGTGAAGATCGTCACGGGCTTTGGTTCTTCATGTGACGTGACGTGCTCCTCGCAGACGTTTCGCTCGGCTGCGTCTGATTCCCGCCGGGGTTTGAGCTACGTCAGTCGCGTGAGCGTCTCCTCTCTGACCTCCTGTCACGATTCCTCACCCCGCCCTATCCTGCCATTTATTATGCACCTCCTTCCTGCTCCCAAACCACATGAAAGAAGCTTCATCTCCTCCTCTGGGAACAGAAAGCACGGATTGGGAAAAATGGAGATCGCTGGAAGGATGTGGAGCTTTGAGAGGAAATAAGAGAGTGGGATACGAAAGTCACGAGTGAAAGAGTTCCGATAGAAGAAACTAATCGCTGCATAATTAACAAAGTTACTCTAATGAGACCCTCTGACGCGTCTGATGAAGAGAAACTGTATGTAGATGCTCTCCACACAAACCATGATCAGTTCCTCATTTTATTTGGATCTGGATGAACTCAAAGCAAAAGATCAGGTATTAACTGTAATGATAGCTATAACACTAACAATAGCTATAACTTTAATGATAACTAGAACACGAGCTATAACAATAATGTTCATGATAGCCATAACTGTAACAATAAGTATAGCTATAAATATAATGATGACAATTACTACAATAGTAACTATAACTAACTTTAACCATAGTTGTAATAATAACTATAGCTATAACTATAATGATAACTTTAACAGTAACTATAGCAATTACGATTACTATAACGACAATATTTTTAATGATAACCATAACTGTAACAACATATATAGCTATAATTATAATTATAGCTATAACTAAGATAATAACTATAACTAACATTATCCATAATTTTAACAATAACTATAGCTATAAATATAATGATAACTATAGCAACTACGATAACTATAATGACAGCAGTAATAACCATAATGATAACCATAAGTATAACCATAGCTACAACGATAAAAACAATGACTATAACTGTATTTACTACTGTAACTATAAGAATAACTATAGCTATAACTATAATGATAACTATAACTACAATAATAACAATAAGTAAATAACTTTACCAATAACGATTACTATAGCTATAAATATAATAGTAACTCAGCAGTATCTATAGCAATAGCATTTAACAATCTTTTTGCTCTTGTACCGACAAATACATACAAAATTATGTCAAAATCCCCGAAAAAACTGTCAGTTATGTCTTAAGTGAAAGTAAACAGTGGAGAATGAAATCGGATGTGTATCATTATAATGGATGCATTGTCTCTTAAAGTGACTTAAAAAGACAGAATACACAGTCAAACCAAAAATTATTCAGACACCAGATATAATTTTTGATATTTTTTTACTAGGACACTAGTTCATTTATGTAAGTGAGGATAGCAAAATTAAGTAAACTGTGACATATTATATCCAAAAATTCTTCATACTGTGGACTACCAGTAAAATTGATTAAAAAAAATTTGGGACCAAAAATAATTCAGACAGTTTGACCTGAGCATGTTTTGCTGAAGTGTTTTTTCTTTAATTGCTAATGCGACCTTTTTGCACCACAGACTGAACAAAATTAAACATTGCTTGGTAATTGGTCAACAAAGTATTGATAGTTGTGTAAATATTTCCATTCTAACAGTTGTCTGAATTTTTGGTTGATTGTAATCCATTACATACCTTTCTATCAAAGTTATCTGACATAATCAAGACGAATTTGTTCTGACACAGTTTAACAGAGTTCTTGTCATATTTTATTACCATTTTTAAACTATAGCGAATAAACTGTGATAATGTGAGAAATGTTGAAGGTGTCTGAATAAATTTTGGTTTGACTGTATATTTAATTTTTACAGTGAAGACTATGCAGTGCTATTTTGCATTTGATTATTCGGTTTCTGCACCTGGACGCCTACAAACTTGAAAAAACTTGAACATTGTGTAAATATCACAAATAATATAATACACAAAATAATAATATCCCTGGTGATTAGCAGATAATCAAAGATTGATTTACAAACCTCACATGTAAATGCAGAAGATGAAAATGAAGATGTTAAATGTACATAAAATGTTAAATGTGTATAAAAACCTGCATTTGTAGGTTGTAATGAAGATGTTGTGTTATTGTCGTGGCTGTTAGCTGCTGGTGAGTTCAGGGTTTCTATCCTGAGACATTTGGATGCAAACAATGTAGGCAGAACTCTCTCACACACACACACACACACACACACACACACACACACAGAGAGAGAGAGAGAGCTTGCAGTCAATCAGCAGCTGCTCGTCTGGGGCAGTTTAGTAGATAGAAATCTCAACACTTCAGGCAATTTCTCAGTCTTGTCTCTCTCTGTGAGGTTTTCCATGTCAAGGTCAGCACTCTTGTGCTCTGGTGAAGCTGTAGTTCTGCAGTAGTGTACTCTTACTGCGTTTTACTGCATCATCATCATCACTCGTGTACTATATCCTGATGTTGTTTTGTTCAGAGGTTGTTGAATGAGTCCGTGTGGATTCCTCTTCTGCTTCTGATGGGATTCTGCTCCGTTCGATGGATCGCTGTTATTGAGGAGTTTAAAACAGACTAATGGGGGTCCACATTTTGCTTGCAAGAGTCTGAATTCTAAACACTTTTCCTCTTGTAGGTATTTAAATATTTAAACATGATTAATGATTTAAATGAATCGCCCGAATAGATCGGCCTCGGTTAGCAGATTACCGTCCGCTGCGCTTCTGCAGCCAGCCAGAAAGGCTCCTAAAAGAGATCTGGTTAATTTCTGATGTCTCTGTTTGTGGTGAGATGCGGTGTGTTTCTGACACGTGTGTGTGTGTTGTTTCTGTGTGTTCCAGCGGTGGTCAGTGCCATCCCGGTGCCCACGCTGGACAGCAGTCAGTATCCGGGCATCCTGCCGTCGCCCACCTGCGGATTCACCACACACCCCAAATTCACCCTGCGGCCCATGCCTTTCTCCACACTGAGCGTCGACCGCAGTTACGCTGCCGGTAACTCACCTGTCTGTCTGTCTGTCTATCTGTCTATCTATCTATCTATCTATCTATCTATCTATCTATCTATCAATCTGTCTGTCTGTCTGTCTGTCTGTCGGTCTGTCGGTCTGTCTGTCTGACTGTCTCTATCTATCTATCTATTTATCTATCTATCTGTCTATCTGTCTGTCTCTCTGTCTATCTGTCTGTCATTCGTTATATTGTTCGTTATACCTATCTATTGTTTGTTAAATTGGTAGTTATATCTATCTGTCGTTAATTATATTGTTCGTTATACCTATTTATTGTTCATTATACTAGTCTTTATATCTACCTGTCATTCGTTATATTGTGCATTATACCTATCTATTGTTCGTTATATTGTTCGTTATATCTATCTGTCATTCCTTATATTGTTCATTATACCTATCTATTGTTCATTATATTGTTCGTTATATCTATCTGTCATTCGTTATATTGTTCGTTATACATATCTATTGTTCGTTATATTGTTCGTTATATCTATCTGTCATTCGTTATATTGTTTGTTATACATATCTGTTGTTCTTTATATTTTTGTTATATCTATCTGTCATTCGTTATATTGTTCGTTATACCTATCTATTGTTCGTTATATTGTTCGTTATATCTATCTGTCATTCCTTATATTGTTCATTATACCTATCTATTGTTCATTATATTGTTCGTTATATCTATCTGTCATTCGTTATATTGTGCGTTATACCTATCAATTTTTTTTTATATTGTTCGTTATATCTATCTCTCATTCATTATATTGTGCGTTATACCTATCTATTGTTCGTTATATCTATCTGTCATTCGTTATATTGTGCGTTATACCTGTCTATTTTTTTATATTGTTCGTTATATCTATCAGTCATTCGTTATATTGTGCGCTATACCTATCTATTTTTTTTTATATTGTTCGTTATATCTATCTGTCATTCATTATATTGTGCGTTATACCTATCTATTGTTCGTTATTTTGTTCTTTATATCTATCTGTCATTCGTTATATTGTGCGTTATACCTATCTATTGTTCGTTATGTTGTTCGATATATCTATCTGTCATTCGCTATATTGTGCGTTATACCTATCTATTTTTTTTTATATTGTTTGTTATATCTATCTGTTATTCGTTATATTGTGCGTTATAACTATCTATTGTTCGTTATATTGTTCTTTATGTCTATCTGTCATTCGTTATATTGTTCGTTATACCTATCTATTGTTCGTTATATTGTTAGTTATATCTATCTGTCATTCGTTATATTGTGCGTTATACCTATCTATTTTTTTATATTGTTCCTTATATCTAGCTGTCATTCGTTATATTGTGCGTTATACCTCTCTATTATTCGTTATATTGTTCGTTATATCTTTCTGTCATTCGTTATATTGTGCGTTATACCTATCTATTTTTTTTAATATTGTTCGTTATATCTATCTGTCATTCGTTATGTTGTGCGTTATACCTATCTATTGTTCGTTATATCTATCTGTCATTCGTTATATTGTGTGTTATACCTATCTATTGTTCTTTATGTTGTTCGTTATGTCTATCTATTGTTTGTTATATTGGTTATTATATCTATCTATCATTCATTAAATGTTTGTTATATCTTTATGTTGTTTGTTATATTGTTTGTAAAATCTATCCGTCATATCTATTGTATTTATCGTTTGTTATGTCTATTTATCTGTTGTTTGTTATATTTAATTATATCTATCATTTGATATATATTTATCTATTGTTCATTTATTGTTCGTTATATCTATTAACGTTTATTCTATTGTTCGTTCATTCTATCATTCATTCTGGTGTTTGTATCTATCAATATATCTATCTAGCAAATAACATGTTGAAAAAAAAAACGTAAAAGTTTGAAGTAAAAAGACAGAAAGAAATGGTATTATCCTATAAAACATACTCAAAAAATCTTTTATTTATAACTTCAAAAATTTTTTTTTTTTTAGAGTGTAGCAGTATTTAAGAGTAACTGTTACTACATCCCCACACGCTGTTTAGAGATGAGGCGGCACTGAATGAAGCAGCTCCTCCTGCTGTCTCGCACTGTTTCAGTCTTCGCTTTTAATGAGTTTGTTAGCAACAGAAGAAATTGATTTGATTTGGTCCTTTGGCAGCAGCTGCGAGTCTCTTTGTATCATTGAAATAAATGACGTTTTCAAAGCGTCTCTTAGTGAGCACGTAACAGGCATCTGCACAAACTACAGCTCTGAGCTAGAGAAGTTCAGCCGAGACTTTGAGCGTTCATGACTACTGATGCAAACGAAATACCGGCTGAACGCTGCGGTGACTGACTTCAGTTAATACACAATCATCATATATATGCATGATTACAGCTGGAAAAATTCTAACTTAGTTTTCAAATGACCAGGACACTCATACTTTTAATAGACTTTGGCGAACTCTCAGTATCAGCATGCCAACTGCATCTGAATTAATTACAGTGAAATGGAATGGAATGAGTCGCACCGAATTCTAATAAACCCAGATGCATTACATTCATGAGAATAGTAATGAGAATGTGCTTAATTAAAACAAGATGAAAAAAGTCACATTTTTCAGATGTATCATTCCACATTTATTTCTGTAGCACTTTATGCAATACACATAAAAAAAAAAAAGCAGCTTCACAGTAATAAACAAACATTTTTTTATTTCTCAAGCACATTTAAAACAGCAGCTGCTGACCAAAGTACTGTAGACAGTACATTAGACAGTAAAATACAAAAACTAACAAGGAAATCCAACACAATAAAATATATAAACTAATAAGAGAGCACACTGATTAGTAAAATTACGTTGATCCAAAAGCCAGAGAAAAACGATGTCTTCAGTGAGGATTTAAAATGATCAACATCAGAGGACAGTCTAACGTGTAATGTGTAGGAAAATAACAGTGTTTATGATTCAAAACTCATCAGTTATGAAACAAATTCAATAATTTTAAGTCGCTCTGGATAAAATGGTTAAATGATTAAATTTCAGCTCTACAGAAGGCAATAGTGTCATTATTCAGATTAATTCAGTTCAAGTTTTCATCTCATCCGATTGCAGTTAAATCAGTATTACTGAATATTGTCTTTTAAACCACAAAATATAATATATTATTTTCTTTGAGATAAAAAAAAAAAACTCTGGACGTGATCATGAGATTCACTGAAACACCATCAACTAATTTGAAATTGAAATGCATCAAATCTTCATGTGATCGGCTGCTGTCTGGTGGTTTAGGCTCTCTTTTGCATGAAGTTCAGCTTTCTCCAATCGTTGTGTGTTTTTCTCAGCGATGTCAGCGGAGGGCGCCGCTCCAATGGCCCCGCAGCAGCCGCAGGCGCTGATTCCCACGGCGCAGTCGGAGCCGTCGGGGTCGGAAGAGATTCCCAGCCGCACCATCCCGACCGCTTGTGTGCGGCCCACGCATCCCCTGCGCAGCTTCACCAACCCGCTCCTGCCTCCACCCATGGGCACCATCGAGCCCAAGGTCTACACGCCCATGACAGGTACAGCTCCATCAGTCATGTGAACAGTCATATTAGTGTCTGCTTTTATTCAGTAAATCACTGCACTCTTAAACATAAAGAGATGAAAGAGAGAGAACAGAGCTGCCCAAACTAGCTGGCCCCTGATGACCGCTGATTTGGCTGCCATGCCAGATCACAAGAATGGGGGGGGAAAAAAAACAATATATATATATGAATGAATACATTTTAATATGTAAAATCTGTATTAAAAAATATTTTTTGCTTCCTCGAAAAACCTTTCAATGAACAGTTCTTAAGAAAATAACATTTTACTAATCTGAAGAACGTTTCTCCATTTTAAAGAAACTTTTGTGCATCAGAAAGCTTCTTACTCTTTAAAATAAAGGTTCCAAAAGTTTTTTTTTTACAGTGATGCCATAGAACAACCATTTCTGGTTCCCTAAAGTCTGTTTCTGTAGCGCTTTATACAATACAGATTGTGTCAAAGCAGCTTTACAGTGTTAAACAGGAAAATAGTGTGTCGATAATGCAGGAGGACAATAGTAAACAGTCAGTTTTCCAGTTAAAGTCACTTCATTGTTGATTCAGTGATGTCCTCGTCCAGCTCCGTCCTCTTCAAATAGTGTCTGTGCAATCAAGTGACAATACTGCCAGAAATAAAGTGTCCCCAACTAAGCAAGTGGCAAGCTCCATCGGTGACAGAAATGGAGAAACCAAGCTTTCAGTGATCAGTTCCTAAAAGAACCATGTTTTCTTAGTGTGAAGTACATTTTAATAATCTGAAGAACCTTTTTCCATTTTAAAGCCTCTTTTGTGCAGTGGAAAGATTCATGGATGTTAAAGGTTCCTCATGGAGCATCAATACCAATAAAGTGTAGGTTGTGCTGGTTATGTGAATATGGGCGATGGAGATGTAGAATCAGGAGAGGGAATCTGCTGGGTTGTGTTGTGCTGTCTGTAGCCAGAGGCGGAGACGGTGGAGATGTGAAGCTGTATCTGCTGTGAGTCTGCAGTCTCAGGGTCTCTCGGTGGGAATCAGTGAATAAAGCGCTTGGTGTGTGTGTGTGTGTGTTGAGTTCTCTATCTATCTATCTATCTATCTATCTACCTATCTATCTATCTATCTATCTATCTCTCTGTCTCTCTATCTATCTATCTATATCTCTCTGTCTCTCTGTCTATCATCTATATCTCTATCTATCTATCCATCTATCTATCTATCATCTATCTGTCTATCTATCTATCTATATCTATCGTTAGTTAGTTAGTTAGTTAGTTAGCTAGTTAGTAGGTTAGTTATATCTATCTATTATCTATCATTAGTTCTATCTATCTAACTATAGTTAGTTAGTTAGGTATTTAGTTAGTTAGTAGGTTAGTTATATCTATCTATCTATCATCTGTCTGTCTGTCGTTAATTAGTTAGTTAGTTAGTTAGTAGGTTAGTTATATCTATCGTTCGTTAGTTAGTAGGTTAATTATATCTATTGTTAGTTAGTTAGTTAGTAGGTTAGTTCTATCTATCTATCTATCATCTGTCTGTCGTTAATTAGTTAGTTAGTTAGTTAGTAGGTTAGTTATATCTATCGTTCGTTAGTTAGTAGGTTAGTTATATCTATTGTTAGTTAGTTAGTTAGTAGGTTAGTTCTATCTATCGTTAGTTAGTTAGTTAGTGAGTTAGTTACTTAGTTATTTAGTTAGTTAGTAGGTTAGCTCTATCTATCTATCTATCATCTGTCTGTCTGTCTGTCTGTCTGTCGTTAGTTAGTTAGTTAGTTAGTTAGTTAGTAGGTTAGTTATATCTATCGTTCGGTAGTTAGTAGGTTAGTTATATCTATTGTTAGTTAGTTAGTGAGTTAGTTACTTAGTTATTTAGTTAGTTAGTAGGTTAGTTCTATCTATCTATCTATCATCTGTCTGTCTGTCTGTCTGTTGTTAATTAGTTAGTTAGTTAGTTAGTAGGTTAGTTATATCTATCGTTCGGTAGTTAGTAGGTTAGTTATATCTATTGTTAGTTAGTTAGTGAGTTAGTTACTTAGTTATTTAGTTAGTTAGTAGGTTAGTTCTATCTATCTGTCCATCCATCTATCTATATGTCGTTCTATTTTTCTGATTGTCTATGAGGTTCAGTCGTGGTTTTCTTGGCTCTTTAATGTCGTTTTTTTCTTGTTGAGTCTCTCTGACCACAGTGTTGGTGTCGTTCTGTCTCTCCTTTATTCTCTGGCATGAAACACATGTGAATAAGGCTTGTTTGACAAATTAATAATTCGTTTGAACTTTGTATTGTATCTTATTCCCTCACGTTGTGAATTATGACTGATCAAGCGCTCCCAGTTAGTTTGTTATCACAGCTTGTGTTGTATTACTAGTGCTTTGATTTACTCATGTTAATGAATTGTCGTCAGGAGCCGAGAGTGTAAATCAGCTGCGGGGCGAAACGCTGCAGACGTGCATTGACTCTCACGATGGAAACACATTAAATACAGCAGAATAAAGCCATGGAGCCTCAGGAGACGGCCGAGCGTTTGTGGGCTGTCGGGTTTATATTTACTGTCTGCGAGCTTCACAGACTCGCCTTTGTTCCTCTTGTTTCAGAGGAGTCCATCCATCTTTAAAAGAAGAATTTAAAGCCGTCTCCTTCCTGCCCGAGAGAGGCGGATCAATCTATCAGCCTGTATGTCAGTCATGCCAGAGTCTCTTTCAGCATAAAGGCATCAGACAGTCCAGAGAAGCTCTGACACCGGAGATCCTTCATGCATTTTAATTCAGACAATTTAGTTGAAACATTTAAGGCTTGTCAAATTTGTGTTCTGTCTTTGGCGAAGGTGTTTCCTCTCACTTTCATCAAGCGTTTATTTTCCCAGGATGAGGTGAAATATTGATCAGGCGTCTCTAAGCAGCAGTGAAAGAAACATTGTGATATAAACACACAGAAACTGGCCGTTCGCTCAGAGCTGACGCCTGCGATGGCCACTTCACCACCAGTTAAATGGTTTTTTAAAGCGCTGTCCATGATGTGAGGGATAGCGCGGCAGACGGACCTGAAGCGCTTTAGACCATCCAGCCATTTCACACACCATAACACACACCGTCCTCGACCGAGAGACGCAATTTGTCAGAATATAAAGACAAAGAGGAGCAGAGAGAGGGAGGAGTGTTGACTTATGGAGAATCTCATGAAAACAGCTCACATTTCACCCCGAAACAAAAGAAAATATATTGTGCATGACGAAAATTTGGCTTATTTTAGAGCCAGTATGATTATTTCACATTATGACATTATTTTCATGACAATTAAGCACAAATAATTCCTGTTTAAGGAGCTTAAAATCTGATTCTCGTTTATGTTTCTCATTAGATTCTCATTGTTGTAGTACAATGTTATTTTTATTATTTATTTATTTAAATCAGAATAAATTAAGAGCAAATCAGCAAATACTACCATTATGTAAAAATACTTGCATCATTATTTTCATGACAATTGACTCATTACTGTAATGCAAAGAAAAATAATGCACAATGCCAATAAATAAATAGCTCTAAAAATAGACTTTATTTTCGTCATGCAATGTAAACGGTCTTATTTCTTCTTGTTTTGAGTTGAAATGTGACCCTTAATATGGTTTTTGAAGAAAATGAAGCTTATTTTAAGGCCAGTATGATTTTTTTACATTATTTTCATGATAAATATTTCCATTGCTATATGTGACTATGTTTAAGGAGCTTCTCATTTATGTTTCTCATTAGATTCTCATTGTTGTTGTATAATACTTTACCATTTTGTAGTGCACTTACTGTAATGCAAAGAAAAGTAATGCACTGGCTCTAAAAATAGTCATGCAAAATAAAAGCTTCTTCTAGCTTTTTGCATTGTGACATTATTTTCATGCCAGTCAAACACAAATAATCATGGTCGCTGTATGAGTTTGGATGTTTAAGGAGCTTAAGTTCTTATTTATGCTTCTCATTGTAGGACAGCATTTTGTTTATTTAAATATTTATTAATTAAATACAAATCAGCAAATACTACTAATACATGTATGTCTAAATACTTCACCCTTTGAATAATGCATCATCAATTAACCCTCAAATCCTCATTACTGTAATGCAAAGAAAAATAATACACTGTCTCCAAAAACAGGCTTCATTTTTGTCATGCAAAATGCAAAAACATGTTTCTTCTGGTTGGGGTTGAAATGTGACCCAGCCGTGTTGTTGATGGTTTTTCTGAGATTCCTCAGTGAATTGACCGATCTGTGTTTCAATCTAACGCTCGGCACTCGTCGTGACCTCATTCCCGCTGAACGAGGAAGAAAGGTTATGAATTGCTATTGAAGATGTGTTCTCTAAAGCATCTTCTAAGGGCTGGTTTGTCACGTCTCTGTGAGAGTTGAAGTTTGAAAGAGATGTGCTCTGGCTCTCGGCTGGATCTGTGGCAGAAGTTAATGAGCGCTAATCATCTCTGGCCGAGCGACAAGAAGACAAATGACAGCGATAATATCACTTACCACTCCAACGCACCTCTAAAAGAGGGAAAACAGTGTCACGTCCAGATCCTGCTGGACAAAACCAACCTAAAGTGGCTCATCAGGCCAGTTTTAGTGCACTAGACCAGCAAAACCACCTTTAAACTGCTCAGGATACAAGTATCATACGTTTAGCAAACAGCCTGGGTATTTGTATCGCTCTCTAATGGTCTGAAATTGAACCTTGAGTTGAAGAGTGATTAGCACGAGCGTTTCACGAGCCGGCGAGTTGCAGTAGCAGCACGTACACGACCCATAAATTGCTTTACAGTTGACTGAAAATCCATATCTGAAAAAGATTGAGCAGTTAGCATGGTGCGAATGCTAACAAGCCCCTCCGGCGGTCTGGATCTCTCGGAGCCGTTGCACACATGAATGTCTTTTCTCATAATGTACTCATAATGGGGTTATGTGATATTTTGGCTGCTCAGTTTTGCTTTTCTTTAGGGTAGTGAAAGTGTTGTGTTTTATGCACCTTACTGTATATTTAATGTAAGAGCGGCACTTTGTTATTCTTCCAGTTATTAACCCTTATGCATCCTTAGACAGATATATTTATTTATTTTTT